ACAAAAAAATAAAATAATAGAACAAATAATAATCAAAAGTATATACAATAGATAATGAAATAAAATAACCTAAAAAATAAGAAAATTAAAACTAAGAAAAAAAACTCATGCATACCTATATAAAATCAGGCGAGGGAACTCCAGGAGAACCCTGCGCTACTCTCCCAACCGCGTCACTGGTACTAAAGCCAGCGGAGATTGGTCGAGAGCACTTTAGCCACATACACTCATGTCTTGAGTGAAGAATCTGGCCATTGCCAGAACTCCAATTTATACAATCTACAAAAGGTCGCGAGGCCACTGCCGTTTCAACCTTCTTGGAGGATTATAGGGATGGGAGGTGCTTGATAGGGATTGTGCAAGAGGATTTAGGTGGTACGTAAGGTTCTGGTGAAATTTGGAGAATTTTTCTGGGATAAGGTCTAGGACAAATGGGATGTTGAGGTCATGATGTAGGGTTTTATTGGTTACATAGAAAGGAGCATCGACTATTGTTCGAAGGACTTTAGACTGGAAGGATTGGATGCGCTTAATGTTAGAAAATTTTGCTGATCCCCACAGTTCTAGTCTACATGACTAGAAACATTACATGAAATTAAATCAGATATATGGTTCAAACTTGAGTAGTTGCAAATCGGTCGAAAGAAGTTACCCCTTTCTGCATCTTTTTAGAAATTCGCTCTCTTTCTTAGTAAGCTTGTCTGCCCTAGTTTAACTATACTATCGGATGAACATGTGTTGATTTGTTTTCAATATAAAACGACAAAAAAAAAGTTTGACCGAAATCTGCGACAGACACGCCCTGCACCAAATCTCTTTAAACTTTAATAGAACGAATTATGTTCTGATATGAAATTTTTCAGTTTTTTAATGAATTAAAGAGGTCGGTTGAAAGATCAAATTATTTACAATAAAAGAATATCGTTGAATGGGGTCTCTGATATAAAGGTCATCGGCTAGCTCCGACGATAGTCCCGCCTATCAGGAAGCGACGCTACTATCTCATTCATCCTTCTGTTTAATGTTTTCCTATCAACGACCTCATATTATTTTACGTCTAAAATAAAACCTATTGATAGAAACATAACATTTTAAAATGATTCTCAGAGGAGGAGGAGTAATAACCTTAGTTTCTCAATCCATTATTGATTGCTAGCTGAGACATATGCTTTCATTTATTGAGTAGCTTCACCCCCTTATGGTTTCAATAAATATTTCTAAATCATTTATTAACATAGGATGAAGAATGTTCAAAGAGAAGAATCGCCTAATTTGTACAACTCACAAGGATAGAATACAATCTGTGAGTCACCGATTTTAACCAAAGTATTTTGGGTAATACTACATCGAAAAATATTAGACACATGTCCCGGCATTCGAACCGGGCCATAGGAGCCGAGAAAAAAAATGTATATAATATCTAATAAAATATATGTTATTTATTTTTGCCTTTACTTTGTCCGGATTTTAAGTTATTATATATCGATTTCTTGTTTTGTGCATAATGGAAAAAAAATATTGATTATTGTATCAAATGAGTCATTATGAATCATAAATTACAAAAAGCAAAAGGCGCTTCCAGTAATGTAGGCTAAATACATTTTTGTTACGAAAAAGCAAGTTAGGTTCGTTTTTAAAGTTCTTCCAAACTCTTAAATACGAATTGTTCTGTAAATAAAATATACAACCTTAAGTAATTGATTTTCTTGGATGATTTTTTTTCCGTCCGTCAACTAAAGCATTCGTGACACCTCAGGATTTTCTTCAAATTCAACTTTAATGTAACCGTTGGAAAGCTGAATTAATGCTCTTCCAACTTACACCGATAACATTTAGATTTCATTGGTTTTTTTTTTCAAGCCAGATATTTAAAAAAAGTTCTAAGCCGTTTTTAGGGAGTGGGGTAGCTCAGTGGTAGGGCACTGAGCTTCCAATGCAAAGGTCCCAGGTTCGAACCCCGACTCATAGCAGACAATTTATTTATCTGTTTCATTGGCCGTGGGGAGACCCTCCTGGGGCACACCCAGCCTCTATAAAGTGGGTACCATTAATTAAATAATTAATTAAGGGGGAAAACCTGGCAGATGAGCGTGATCCCGGTCAAATCACCTCCTTGCACAACCCATGACCTAGCAACAGTGCTTTTCCTAAATAGTACTGAACCCCAGACCATTCATGGGTTGTAGTGTTACAGGTTTTTTTTTTTTATTTTTCCATGCCGTTTTTATTTTACATCTTTAGTTTTAATTTTTTTATGAAGGTCTGGTTTACACTATTTCGTGTAGCATACTGAGGCCTAAATCCGTAATAATTTTCGTGAGAATCGGTGGAGCCGTCCTAATGTTGTTGCAATATTTGTGGTTGTCGGAAAAAAAAATTAATTCACCGTTCTTCATCCAAACCCAGTCTCTTCAGATCGGCTTTAACGAAATCTTCTCACCTTCGCTTCGGTCTACCCCTCGGAAGTTTAGCATTTGGTACAGCAAATATTAACCTTTTAGGAATTCTTGCGTTACTAATATGAATATTCATTCATTCTAGCAATATGACCTGCCCATCGGAGCCTACCTCTTCTTATATAATTAACTATGGCATGATTTTTTATCACGGCTGCGATTTCTGTACTGTTTAATTTTATGAGCAATTATTGAATGAACTTATCGTTTTCTAATTTGACATAAACGTCTTTCAAAAAGACTTAATATTTGCGGTCGACAAGCTCACTTTGCAATTAAAACTATTTATAAACTCTTTCCCATATTTTTCGCAGATTTCTTAATTTGTATTCTCTTGGCTTTTTAGACCTTGCAGATCTTTGGCCGCCTGAATCGGCCTTATCCACCGGGATTACTGCGTTCTAGTTTACTGCATGCAGCTCATAATATTTGTTCATTCTGTCTATCCATTTGTTGTTTTGACTCCAACGTCACTTGCACGGTCTTGGTCTCTTGCCAACTATTATGGCACTCAGTGTTGTGAAGTGGCTTCCTGATGAATTGTTTCGAGCTTTACGTTCCGCCAATCTTCACTTCCTCGGTTTCATATCATTAATATGGAATGACCCGTTTCTGTTAGCAATTTTTAATTGTTCTTACTCCTCTATGAGTAAGTGCTCTGATCTCAGATTGCTCCGGTTACCTTCTGGGGAATTTTTCTGTGAAATCTTTAAATTCTTTTTTCCAGGGTGCTGGCTGGAGTCCAGGTTTCATAGCCATACACCACTGGCTTTATCATAGTATATTCTTAATTTGAGCTTTATAGAGATTGTTCGGGATTTTAGCATTCAGGGAAAAGAGAAGAATCTCTTACTTTCGCTTAAAACTCTCGCGAACAGTTCTTCATCTTCATAAATCCTGTTGGAATAGATTTTTCGACTTACTACCGTATATTTTGTTTTATCTTAATTTACTTATAGACTGATTTGCGAACCTCTCTTATCAGAGTCTTAGTGAGTCTTTCAATGTCTTCTTGATTTCTTCTCAGGACGACTATACCATATGCATATCGTAGTCATTTTGGTTCATTCCGATATGCATACCTCCATCACTAAGTTAAACAGTATCAACGAGAGAGAGTCTGTCGAATTTCGAATACTTGTTGTACCAGGACTCAGCATTTACGATATGAATTATAGGTTACAAAAAAATAAATATTACCTAAAAAAATAAAAAATCTTTAAACAAAACTAAAGGAATGCCAATAAAATTGTATTTGTTGGACTTTTACTAATATAGCTGAATGTATTTCTATTTATTCGTTTCACTTAACATTTTTTTTCTATTTATTTTATTTGTCTATAGGAATTGAAACTTAAAAATGATTACGTCTGTGAATTTCAATGACTACAAGCAAGATAATAGTGGTCTTATGTTAATAATATACTGAAATGAGATTATTTCTTATCTAAATTTATCGTTTCGTTACAAAGAGCTAAAACTGCCGAGTAAGCTATACTGTATAACTGACTGTTCGATTACTTCGGCTTAATCAAATTTAAATAATTTTATTTATCTTGTGAATCCAAATTAGGATTTAACTTATTGGTGAAATTATCAGACGCTTCGTTCAGGATAAAGTATACAGACATTATTACTGGAGAAAAAATAAATCGAGATGGGCGTTTGGAGAATCCTTCCACGTTTATAAGGATGCAGTATCTGTTGGTGGAATATTATATTTTCTTCTAAATTTTCTATGACCAATGGGCAGATCGATATAAAATAACTTTATTCTGAGACAATGTCTCTTGGGAATAACAAAATTAAAACATTACATATGGCCTATATAAAATAAAAAAAAGGTATGTGTTTCAATGACAACAGTAGGTGCTGATTTCGCAGCACGTGTAATTATTCTCAAGGCCGTATTTTGTTCAAGAACGATCTCGCTTTCTAGCTAAGCAATAGAAAATGGAGTACAGAATAGTTCTTGAATTCTCTTCAGCCAAAAACGGGGTGAGTACTTCCTAAATCGGTGTCTTGGCGATGGTTCCATGGAAGCGTGATCAAAAGATTTATTGCCGTATGGAATGGATTATTGGGGATTTTGCGGGTTGTTGCTGTTGAGCTGGCCCGGATACAACTCTGCCTAAAATCTCGTGCAGCAATAAAAACATTTAACTTTTTTTTTTTTTTATTTCAGCGATCATATGTCTCGCGCAGTGCTTTCTTTTCTCTACTAAATATCCAAATCCAATTTTTTTTTTTCTTTACTGTAACATGCTTTTGGGCGCCAAACAATCTTGAAGCTTGAAGGACTCTTGATAGACTTCAGTTTTGGGTGAAGAAAAAAATGTACATACCATAAAGTTGAGATAAATAACAATAATATATTTCTTCACTGTGACTACTGCTTATTGTCCAACGTCGTTAAAAAATATTAGTTTAGTTCTTTACATCCACAGTCCAAATTGCGTATGTATTGTAAATTGGTATCTGATATGGAAAAAATTTGTATGGTAATATTAAACTTTTTTTTTGTTGTTTTTATCTATCATTTTTCAACTTATTCACTTTGTTTCAGTATTCTGCGGTGGATACGAATCCCCTTAGTATTTATATGATGCATCCATTTTGGAACCATATTGTCAAGGTAAGCTTTTGTTTTATTGATTATTCTATGTAAATGTTCTATGTTGCTATAATAGGATGCAATTTTCCATATTCTTGGACATAGCAGTTTTTCCTTAACTATACAAAAAAAAAATTGGTTTAATAAGTAATGTTTTATTTTAATACAAAACTTATTAATGTTTTCATTGATACTAAGTAAAACTAATTAACAAATTGTAAAAATATGTATACATGTTTTTGGTTGTTATAAGTAAATTGTCTATGCATTTTTATTATTGTTGATTTATTTTCTAATTTATTAAATTGTTCACTTAATAATTTATTTAAATAACTTCAATCAATCTCTGTTTCATCATTATACTGTTACTATATTATAATATTTACCATTATAATTTAAATACTAAGGTGTTATAGATACATAATTTAACATTTTCTATTTAAAAAATTATCTTTGTGTATTCTTTTGTTGTAATCCAAATTTCTTCTATATTTTTTGTACATTCTTCTCTTTTAACTTTACTATGGTTACTATTAAGATCCAATTGTAAAGTATTTAATATTTCTTTAATTTCAGTTGCATTAATTATATTATGTTTTATTGCATTAATCCTAGTTATTGTTTTTGATTAGGCATTCTATTGAATGTTTAAAAAACTTGGTTAACTTTTGGTACTCTCGTTTTCTTCCAAGCCAATATTTCACTTACAGAAGTTACCCTTTACCAGGTCCTCGGTAGTCACAAGTAATATTTTCTTTGTCTGTCATGCTCTCTCATAGCTGCATGATGTGCAGAGAGTCATGCATGACTCTCTCATTCAGCTCAAAATTAAGCTCTCCATATTTTTTGGTGGACAGTTTCAAACTTATATTCTAGTAGACATCTCTGCCGAGGCAGTTCGCAGCTAAAAATGTGTCAGAAGCAGGTGGTTCATTAGCCTGATATTGAATACTGCTAGATAGGTTAATTGGTGTTTCACTGGCTGGACCAGTTTTTTCTCCTGTTCACATTTTGGACTGAGACATGATATTTTAGACTCAAGTGGCCCTCAAAGTCCCTTGTCATGAAAACTATGAAAACGACTCAACATTGAGTGCAAATAAAATTAATTTTATTCTATCTGGTAATTGCTTCATAACATATTGAGCTGTATGTCATTTTAACTAATAAACTTTTACTGGTACTCACTACAAAAGTCTCAAAATTCTTCCAAGTTTCAAAAAATAGGAAAAATTTTATGCTGTATCATCTACAATAATTGAAGTCAAAATATCAATATCATCATAATATTTAAGCATAGTGAAACAAACAAATTAGATATGCTCTACTAAATCTAAAGAAAAAGCGAAATCACTAAATTGAACAACAAGAACTTAATTTCTTCTTGTTGCTCTTTCACTTTTTTTTTTTTAGATCTCATTCACTTAACCATAATAATTTTCTCATTCCCATTCACATATTGTGTAATAATGATGACATAAATTATAATTAGTTAAATGATGATAAATTGTCTTAACAAAATATATTTATCAATTATTCTCGTTTAGTTCTAAAAGAATATTATTTTTCAACAATTCATTTTACAATTAGTGTGTACCATGTGGTCATTCCTTATATATATATATTTTTTTTTTATAACTCACATGGCACTAATATGTAATAGGTATAATGGACAATTCTATTTTGCAGTATTGTCCTATGTGGCTGGCACCTAACATGCTAACTTTTGTTGGCTTTCTTATGATGGCATTTGCTTGTTTCCTACTATCCTACTATGATTATCATTATTGGGCCTCATCTGGGAACCTTGGTACTGTGCCTATTCCAGCATGGGTCTTCCTAGCTGTTAGCATACTTATATTTGTTTCATATACACTCGGTAAGTCATAATTTCTTTTAGTTCAATGATTATTTTCTCATTATTGTGATTTTAATTTATTTCATTCACTAATTGGGCAAAATATGAGATAATTAATTCATCTTAATTTTTTCTTATTTAATTTTATAATAGTGGGTTGATGGTTGACTGTAGTTAATAATCGAAGAGAAGATTGGACGGGTGATCAGTAAAAAAAATGTAAAAATAAATAATTATATTTATTTAAATAACATAAATTACAACATTTCTTTTGACTGATCACTCCAACCAATCTTCTCTTCAATTATTTTTATAATAACATTATAGACACTTTTTTTAAGGAATAGAATGGGTGGAACATACATAAACAATAAGTTATGTTAATTATTACAAAAGTTTTCTCAATCTTCTTTATTATGTAATTTTTATTTTACTTGTACATTTTAGCCATTGGCCATCTTCAGCATATCTGAAAAAAAATTTCCATATATACATTTTGCCCAAATATATAACTTTTTACATTATCTCTATTTATCTTTAAATAGAATTGTATGCGAAACAATTTAAAATTGTTATTGTCTATTTTTCGTTGTCGAATAGACAATGGCCACTTTATTTAAAAAACAAACTTTATTTAAATTTAAATAAAATCGCTTATAAAATTTAACAAATGATCAAAAAACTTGAAAAACATTTAAATAATAATAATTTAATAGATCTGAATTATAGACAATAGCTTATATTTGTTACTGATTGGATAACAATTTATTCTATCTTATCTGCTTGAAGATGGTATCGATGGTAAGCAGGCAAGGCGGACTGGTACCTGTGGCCCATTGGGAGAACTGTTTGATCATGGTTTGGACTCATGGACTGCTGTTCTCATTCCAGTTTGCCTTTATAGTATCTTCAGTAGGTCAGAACCCAGCATACAACCTTTCAGGTAGTGGAGTAAGTTACTCTATTTGGCACATTCAAACTATAATACATATTTTAAAATATTTAAGTTAATATTTATCATTCCCTACCTAATTGACTTTTAATTAACTTCTTTACCAGATTTTATATGATATGCTGGAACGTATTCCTCACTTTTTATACAACTCATTGGGAAAAATACTTGACTGGTATCTTATTTCTTCCATGGGGCTATGATTTGTCCATGCTGGTAAGACAATATTTTATACTTTTCACTTTAAATTATTTGATAAAAACTGTTATTTAAAAAAAAAAAGTATAGTATAGTTGTTTTTAATATAATATATATATTGTCTCTAAACAATAATTTCTACATAACTGCCTATTGTTACTTGATTTTATGTTGATAAAAATGTTTATTGTTTACTAAATATTTATTTTTTATTTTAAATGGATCATTAAATTTCAAACAAGATATCAACATAGAAATAATAATTCCAAAGGGTTTGACTGACTTAGTTTATGTTATGTAATGTGATACGTACTTTAACATTTTTTGTATTGCATGTATATTCTATGGGTCTCTAGTCATTGGAATGATTAAATGATTTAGAAAATAATTATAAGTGATACTGTGATCTCATTTTCCTCCCGTTATGTATTGAATCTTTCCAAAAGTTTATTGATCTTATTCTTTGTTTAAGATTAAAATTTATAATTCAACCAGTGTGCATTAGGCTTTTGAATTAGAATCGCTTTCAAAATACTTGTTCATTCAATAGATAGATAAATGTTTCAGCTTCCCATTATATGATCTCAAACCTTCTCGATAGGAGATAACATCTTATAGCTTTAATTTTTTGCTCCCATGAGGATTTATCTTAGTTAAATATCAAATTATAGAAATGTTACAAATAATTTAGATTGATTCATATATAAATATATATTAAGAAAAGTAATAATCGAATCTATTTTTACTTTCACTTACCTATGTATGAAATATATTGTAAGAGAAAGTATTTCGATCGTAAAAATTTTTGAATTTCAGTTTTTAACGGAAATACATGTTTTGAGGTCCCCTGAGTCGAAATGACTAAATCCTGCAAAGTCATGTGTGTGTGTGTGTTTTATTTTGCTTTTTTAAGGTTTTTATATGCTTGTAAGGTTACAGCAACTTTTTCATCATAATCGGATAACCATGAGTGGCACTTTATATCATGGACTAATCACGTTTTTACAATTTCCTCAAAAACAGCTCTAACAATTTTGATTAAATTCATTATATTAGTGTAAAATTAGCAGTTTTAAATAAAATGTAGGTTTTAGTTCCTCTTTTTTTAATTGAATAAATTGACCATTTAACATTAATCTCTATAATATAAAATATAGTTAAATATGAAATATGAAAGAATATGATAATTACTTAAAGGAGATATTAGAGGTCGTAAAAGAGAATAGTTATAATTCAGGAACCAACAGAATACGAGCGCATCAGAAAGATTAGAACATGCTTCCATACGTAACATGAGCTTAATATAATAATGACTGTGACAATATTATGTAAATATACATATGCCGTTTTCATAAAGATATTGTTGGTATTATTTAATATTTAATTGTATAGATTAAAACTATATAAATATTAAAATTTGTATATATAAGGGTACTTATACAAATAAAAATACCCACAATGAAATATAAATATTGCATTTATAATTTTTACTTTCACTTCCCCTTTGTCTGAAAATACTTATTTCTGTTAAGAAGAGGGTGGTAAGTGAAAGTTGTGTGATGCACGCTCCGCATCAGATTATTTACATAGACACAGAAGTGCTTTGTTTGTAACATATCCTAAATTACTTTTCATATAATGTTAGTTAGCATAGTTAGCAACCAATAGTTAATATATTAGTGCAATGAGTGCTTGTAAAGTTTTGTTATTGTAGTTCTATTATAAATTTTTAATAAAAACATAAAACAGTATGTAATAAGAATCTTGCATCTGTGTTTGCTTAGAGGAAATAATTTAAATAGATAAAACACCAACAAGATTCTAGTGCAATACATCAAATTATTAAATGTATTATGTAGTAAATGTATTAAATGTAGTATAATTAGGCTTTAATCAAATTTTAAATATATAAATGTCACTGTTGGCATTTAAAAGATGGCATCATCAACTTGAAGAAAATAATATTTTAAAGATCAGATGATATGGGTAGAAAATAGATAAAGGAAAACTTACGATTACTTATGAATAACAGTATTATAAATGAATTTTGTAAATCATTATCCTGAATAATAAATTAATAAATAATTTTAAAAATATATCTAATTAAGTGTTTTAGCTAAAACATTATATGTTATAAAATAAATTACATATATAGAAACAGTCATTTATATGTAACTACATACTTCATGAATGGAAAGAAGAAAAAAAATAATGGTTAAAAATAACCTCTATGATAAATTTAAAATTAGAGAAAGCTCTCTCTGTAGCTACAGAAAAGGATACCAGAATACAGAGCATATCCCTCAGACATCTCCTGAGCGGGAGGACATCAGAAAACAAATTTGGCTTATTTCCACTGACTTGGCGATGAAGTTTTATGGTGGTCTGGAGGATCTAGTTTATATATATATATATATATATATATATATATATATATGACTTAAGATATCAATTTTAGTTGGATGATAGGTCATTAAATATATTTAAATGAGCTAAAACAACTTCTTTTTATTCAATCGTTTTGATCCCTGTTTTTTAACATAAATAATGGAATTATCTTCAGTTATGGAAAAACAATACCCATCATTGGTACAACAATTAAAAGTTTCATACATTTCAACAATAATACCAACTTTTTCTTACTTCTAATTGAGCATCGATACCCCAAGTCGGGCAGCACTCTGATAGTACATCAAGCTACTTGGGCCGTAACGTGCACCCCGATCCTGGAGTCCGAGAATAATACCAATATATACGATAACAGTGTACACAACAATTTCTTGGTTGTAATTAATATTGCCAAATTTAAACATTAAAATTGCTAAAATGATGAATTAAAACAACCTTACATATATTTTATACTAACGTCAAATGCTAAAATTTAATCAGATTTCAATAAAATAAAGTACAAAGCCAGTCATAACATACAATAACACAATGATAAAAGAAATTAATATGGTTCCTACTTCTGTTCATTGTCTATTACCACCACTAATATTTATAAACAGTTACATATACATATATACATATATATGTGCACCCACACATAAACGTACTGAATGCTCTGGCCAATTTATATTGATTCCAATATATCATTATAGGCATAATTTAACTTATCTAAATCATTACGCCTGTTTATTGTGTTCTTTGTCATTCCAATGTACATCATTTCCGGAATCAATCTTTTTTGTTGATTATGTTCGTTATCTAGGACTTTCACCTTATCAAAATCAAATGTGTGCGCCTTTCTAACTGCATGGCAAGCTAAATCTGTCTTCTTTTTTATTGTTGACGCTGTATTTGTGAGCATAAAGTCTCCTAGATAAGTACTGCGGTGTTTGCCCGATATACTTCCCGCCACAATCGGAGCATTTTATTTCATAAATTACATTTGATAATTTGTCCCGGCTAATCCTATCTTTTTGTTTAGAGAAGAGGGCCCTTTTAAGCCTATTTCTATACCTGTATGTTATGCTGATATTGTGGCAATGAAAAATTCTTTCTATTCTTAATGCCGTTTGCCATTCTTAATGCCATGATTTTTTTTTTTTTTTTTTTTTTTTTTTAATATATTCCATTGAGAAATAATACTGTGGACTGAACCGCTTATTCTGGTGGAGGGCCAAACTGTCAGTTACATATAAATCTATATGATTTAAAATTTAATATTCGGCCGCCATTATTTTTTCTTTCATACCATGATACTGCTATGTCATTTCCAGAGCGATATATTTTTGTATCTAAAAAGGTAATAGAATTGTCTTGCTCAATCTCCATACTGAATTTGATGTGTGGTTCCACATTAAAATATTTCAAAATATCATTTAAATGGGCGGTGGGGACACTCAATACCGTAACATCAACATATTTTTTTTTTATAAACTGTACCTCTATAGGAATGGTGTAAAGTATTTTTTCGACTAGATCATCCATTACAAATTCTACGAGTGTAGGGGAAATTTGAGAGTCCCATCAGAAGCCCCATTATCTGTCCGTGCTGCCTGGCTTGGGGTATCGATGCTCAATTAGAAGTAAGAAATAGTTTGTATTATTGTTGAAATGTATGAAACTTTTAATTGTTGTAGCAATGATGGATATTGTTTTTCCAGACCTGAAGATGATCTCATTATTTATGTTAAAAAACAGAGTTCGAAACGTTTGACTAAAAAGAAGTTGTTTTAGCTCATTTAAATGTATTTAATGACCTACTATCCGACTAAAATTGATTATCTTAAGTCATAATATATAAAGATCGAATTATAAAAACATTGTAATATTATATATATATATATATATATATATATATATATATATATCCCTTTGACTGCGGGTGTTTATTCGAGTGTTTCTACCAGATGGTGTGTCCTGAAATCCAAAAAGATGTTGAGAAAGACGGATTATTTTTTTTCATAAATTTGTTTAAAATACTATTTTGGTCACCCTGCTAGATCTTTGCTTTCAAAAATGCATTTTAACCTTCTTATTCAACTTTTAATAAACGGAACATATGCCTTTCACATGGCAATACAAAATTAGAGCGGCAATCCTGTAACACTTCATTATCTTGCATATTCGCTCATTTCTGAAAAGTAAAATAACTGAAAATTATCATAAAAATAACTGTAAGTGATCATAAAAATTAAACTATATTATTTCTTAAAAAAGGACACCGATGATGGGATTTGAATTATATATTTCTTTCTATTTACAAATTTTTTTCTTACCTAAAAAAGTTCCACATTAAAACATAGCGCTTAGGCGTAGGGAGGTGGCGGCCCTATCGTCAGACCTAGTGCCGCAATCAGCCACTGGCCCTCCAAGTTGGGGAAACAGTACACTTACATACACACATAAAACAGCACACTATACTCATCCCTACACTTTATATATATATTATAAACTTGTACATTTTATAACACCTTACAATAAGGATATATGACACAAATTTTTCTTTTTTATGTTTCGACCTTTTTGGCCATTTCCAAATTTATTAATTGCACATTGTTATACCACCTGTCCAACATTTGTTTAATGTTTACTCATCAAATTTATCCTGGCAAAATGAAGTATTTCTCTTTGTAAGTCAAAAAATTATTTGTTGGTGGCTATACTTTTCTTTCTATAAAATTCTAGAAAAAAATTATTTTACTTTGTACTTTTTTTTTTAAATTGATCATTAAATGAATACCATTAATTTTTTAATAAACAATATTCTATTACCAATTTTATATAATGTTTTTTTTCTTTTTCTATTTTAAATTTTAATTAAATCAACAATATAGGCAAAATTTATTTATCCATTTTTCAAAAAACCATTATGCTCCCAAAACTAAATAGATTAAACTATAAAGATTAAATGTAATAAATCTCATTAAAAATATGAATAATCCTAATGGCATTGTTTATCATAAATAAATATTTATTAGGTGAGAGCTCACTGTTTAGCCTCTTATATATATATATATATATATATATGAGTTGATGCGATAGTAGCTGTCACTGCAGCAAAAACTTACATACTTACCCTATAATTTGTATAAAGATAAAATAAAATTTAATTCAGTGCCTCAATTTTATATTGTAGGATGCTGATTTATCGTTTAAAAAACGTAATTTCCAGACATATTTGAAACAATATAATTCTGAAGCCGATTGAGTCTCATTCACCAAATTTTTGTCGTACGTCTTTATTATAAGGTCTTATAAAATGTTCAATTTTCCTCATTTTCCGCTCAGTCCCTTTTATGAAATTCTTAAATAAAAATCTGTATATAGGACTCCTTAAAAAAAAAAATTAAAGTTGGAAGACTTGTTTCATTATTACAGCACTAACTATCTCATTTTATGTTAATTTTCATTTCATAGTTGTCAAATTTTTAACTTTTTGCAACTACTTAGGAGATGCATTGTGACGACAAAATATTTAGACAAAAATATCATAATTTTAGTTTTTGTTTTGTTTTGTTATCTGAAAAAATTCCTGAGTTAGAGTAGGTAGGATATACTGATAGAGACTCTCACCAGGCAGCAATATTTGTTAGCTTCTAATGCATAGAACCAGTGTAGTCTCTTTTGTGATATTCAACATCAAAAATCGCTGAAAACAACTTTTGGCTGTTTTTGAAAATTCATATTTACAAAAGGACAAGATTTTCAAGATTGAAATTTATCAGCTTAAAGTACCGTGGTAGAACTACATAGAAAACAAATCTTTTCTTTATTACACATTTGCAGCACTAAATGTCTCGTTTTATGTTCATTTTCGCGATTTTTTAAACCACTTTCCTTTCTTTTTAGATGATGTATTCATCAACAGATATGTAGAAAAGATACTCTACATTATTTTACATTTTATTTTGGTTTGATACCTACAAAATTTCCAGTTACAGGCATTTTCCGAAAACATGTTTTCAGTCGAAAAGCAAATTCAAAATGGTCACCGAGGAAAAACTGTGAGGCCTTATAATTTTTTTAATTTCGAACTCAAATAAATACTGAATAACTGGTAAAGAAATTATAAAAATCAAAAATGTCGAGCAACATGATCTGAGTGATTTTAAATGGATTGATCCTATAATGTTCAGTGATAATGAACTGTCATTTATATCTATTTCCTCTTACTTTAGCCATTAGCATACAGATCAAAAGAAATAAAAAACAAAAGTATATTGAATTCACAAGAAAGAAATCATTATTGATAATCATTGTATTAACTATAATTCAAGCGTGCATTTTGTCTCTAAATCGGCCTTATATTATATTTAATAATATAGATATGATAAAAGAATGTAGATTAGATAGTATGCAAAATAGTTGTTAAAAATATGCATACTAAATACACATTTCTTTTTTTACCTGAGGTACCATGCTTCGAAATTTAATATACAGTTATTATTGTAATGTTGGAAATCATTTAGAGATTTAATATTTAATTTGAAGTTAAATTGAATAATGTATCTTTAATTATTTTTTTATAGAGTGGCGTCTTGTTGGATTCAGCAGATGGACCATGTCCATGCATTTGTGTGTAAAATGTAATTTTTTAAAATTATTTTTTCTCATTTTAAGTTTTAATAAATAAACACACACTTTATAATATTTATTTGAAAAGGATAGTGTTAGTATTTATTTCATTGTTTTCATAAAAATATGTATTGTGGTATTTATTAAAAACAAGAATTTATTCATCATAGGAAAGTTTATTTTATCAATAAAAGTAATCTTTGTTTGCAGGGTACTACCGTTCTTTTTGCTGTTACATTCTTTACTGGTCATGAGGGCTGGAAAGTAACAGTGTTTGAAGGAATTTCTACAGGACGATTAATTGAAATACTGTTTTATCTGACATCATTTCTAGCAACACTACCTGTGTCCATGTGCAACATATACAGGTTTGTGGATAGGTTAAATGCTTTATGTAGAGATCATTGAGATTTTAACTGTTGTTTAAACATACATTTCTAGTATACAGGACCATGTTTCATAACAGGTTTTACTGTTAAGATTAATTACAATTAGGGATGGCTAAAAGATATCAATGAAATACTGTTTTATCTGACATCATTTCTAACAACACTACCAGTGTCCATGTGCAACATATACAGGTTTGTGGATGTGTTAAATGCTTTATGTAGTAAATGCTTTGTAAATCTTCAGCGGGACCAGATGGTTTCACTGTTAAGCAGTGGGAGTATGTTACACCCTAGGTAGGGCCATCTTTTACAATATATATCTTCTTTTTTTTCTTTTTGCTGGGAAGTTGTATGTATTCTTTTTTTTTTGGCAATAAAGACTTGCAATTAAACCACAATTGATTTATTTGTTGTATTTCCAAGTTACATGTTAACGTTTTGGGATATTTTCTCCCATCTTCAGAACTACAATCCCAATGTTTCTTTGTTGATTCATGGCTTAAATCTAATGTGCTCCATTGTCAGGTTCTAAAATCATGTTATAATAAATTAAAGTATATAATATCCAGAGCATCATCATGCCTTTAGACCAATTATTGGGTGTTTGCCAACGTGAATATTAGATTTTTCTATTTATAGCATAATTTCATTTAATGATATAATTTTTTTAATTTGATGTTTATATTATCATACTTTTTTAATACAATATTTGTATTTACAGATCATACAGGGATGGAAGTGGTAAAAACCTACCACTACCTGAGGCTATCCGACCATTGGTCCCAGTTGGCGCTTTGTTGATATTATCAGTTACCTGGGTCTTATTTTCTCGTAATGATATCATCTCTTCTCACCCTAGAGCATTTTACCTCATGACTGGAACCGTTTTTTCCAATATTACTGTTAGTATTCTTTTTTTATGTACTGGATAATTTATTTACCATTAAAATTTAATTTAAAGTTGTGTTGAAATTTATAAGAGCTTAATATATCCATTGATGATGTCAACTATAGATGGAATGGCTGTATAAAGCCATCATTAAGAAAGACACAAGAAGAATAATTGAGGAAGAAAAATGTCTATATTGCAGATAAAAGAGAGCTTTCCTAGGAGCCTGGGAGAGACAAGGGGGAAATAAAGTATAGAAAGCATCATTGAAGATGATATTCCTGATGCCTTTAGCCACCAGAAATGCAAAAAGGCTCCGGTTACTGATGGACTACCCATGGAACTCATCGGGTTAGATAAGAACAAACTATTTAGGAATACACAGAAACTCTTCATCACTCTTGATAAAATGGCTGTATAAAGGAGATATGAGGTATTACCAAACCCATGGACTAAGTTGTTCATTAGTCCTATTTTCAAACTAGTGAGCGAAACGCCTGGTCTTTAAAAGGAGACCCTCAGATGCATCTAGGATAAAGAAAAATGGAAAAGGAGGACCAACTAGAAGGTGTAAACTATATTTTAGGAGCCTTATATGGTCTTAGTCTGATGTGCATAGCAAGACAGAGGTGGTTCAGGATGGGCAACAAAGATCCATTAAGACATCTGCTACATGGCACTAGGAGAAAAAGATGACCTAAGCCATGAAGGGCTGATGGTTTTGTTGTTGATGTGAGGAACATTCTGAATGGTTATTGAACATGATGGTTATTGCAGTAACATGAGGAAGTGGCCTTTCATTGATTTTAGGCAGGCAAGTGATAAAGTCATCAAGGATAAGCTAAATTTAAGAAGTCATAGAGAAAATAGAAACCTTAGTTTAGCTGGCCCACCTAATCAAGATGACTTTGAAGGATATAGCTTACAAAGCTTAGGTGTAGAGAAATCATTGAAGATATTATGTATGAACAAAGGTGTTATGTAGGAAGATGATGTTACGGACTTGGTAATAAAAAAATACCAGTAATGTCAATTTTTTCAAGTCATTCAAATTAAAGTTGAAAATCTAGCGTCATTTGTAATAAAGTGGCCAGCAATTACAAAAAATGTCTTAAAATAAAACATCTAGAGAATACATTTCTCATTCTAAATCACTGATTAATATTTAAAATGGTTCATTAGAAAATGCACTACAGTCCTCTGCCACCTTGTTATATTTTGGATCTTCTCAATAGTGATCGCAAAATTTCTTTTTTCTAGCAGTTTTTTCTTCTTCACTTTTTCATATATTTATAACTTTTCTATGATTTTTTCCCCATATCTAACATTTCCTCTCTGAAATTAAATTTCTGAGTTGAGAGCTTTGAAAGGTGCGGTGAGCCCTTTTTATGCTGCCCCTGGATTGCTAGGAAGAAGATCAAATGCAATAAATGGCTCAGATCATTCTAGCTCAATTAGTATATAATATTAGATTCACATAAATCAACATAGGGTTTCTATCTCTCATTATTTATAGGCATTCCTATATCCATGTATCGTACTCCTTCAAAATAATAAATTAAATAAATTTTTACTTCACTAACTCTTATTAGATAGGTTATTGAAGACATGAACATGAAAATTAGCTTAACATTTCCAATTTTTAAAAAGTTCATTAACTTTATTTACAATTTTCATATTCACTTATGTAAATGTTTGTTAAATATTTTTTTAATTTCAATTTCAGTCTTTTGATTGTGAAAATTGATCTCAACTTCTCTCACCAAACCTCCTCCCCTCCTTCAAAATGTTAAAATGAATCAAAATTTACTTCACTGAATCATATAAGACAGGTTATTGAAGATATAAAGACAATTGCAAATGATAAAAGATGAAAAATATCATACAATTTTCAATTGTAAAACCTGTATCTTGTAAACTATTCAATTTACCGATTCTGTTCTGTTCTTAAATTGTAGCATATTTAATCTAGTTTAAAAATGTATAGTATGATTTCTGTCGAAAACATGCTCATTCGTGGTAAAACTGGGGAAAAAACAAAAAAAGTACGAAAATATAACAGTTTTTGGGGTATTCAAAAGTGATTCAGGGGGGCATTGAGATCAAAAACTTGGATTTTGCATCTCAGTCACATCCCATGCAAGAAAAAAGAATCCTTCTACCCCCATTTGATGCAACTTAAACCGCCCCTTTTCATGACATGGTTACTGGGCTACTAGTTAATCTGTTTTTTAAGGAAGTGATTAGGGGCTCAAAAATATATTTTGAATGTACTCCATCATCCATAGTATACTCAATAATCCACGAGATCCATAAAAGTACTATGCCAATGAGCTGAATATAGTTGTAGAGAATTTCCCTGTTTTAGAAGATGTTCCTACTCTTTAAAAAGCAATAGCTGTCATTGAGTTCACCATCAATGAAGAAAAACTAAATGTGTATTTAGTAAATAATACTAAATGTGATCCATTGATTGGATGAAAATAAAGAATAGGAATTAAAATGTTTTCTATTAATAATTTGACTAGTACTTACCGGTTTCGAGTAAATGGCTTTCAAGTTTGAATCACTTAGCTAAAAATTACTGTAATAAGACCTTTGAAAGCAAATATCTGAAAATAATTCGGTTATTAATAGAACACATGTTATGTAGAATTTTATGAGGAATATTTTCATAAAATTGAAGAAAATGTTAAATGAAGAAAACTGACACAAAATGCCAAATGTTGGGGTGGAAGTGGTGTTTTTTCATGAATTTGTGGATGTTTCATCTACCAGACAAGTTGGAACTCTTTTGATTATTATTCCTGGCCCTAAAAAAAAAATATGCTGGGAAGGGAAAAACTTTATTAATTATTTCCTCCAAAAACCCTAAGGTCGTGGGACTAAAGGATATTTTGTCCTATTTGTGAAGATCTTGAATGGATACTTTTTTAAAAATTTGACTTAATTTAAGATTATTAATAAAAGAAAATATAATATTTATAGTAATAGTATAATGCATAATATAATAGTAGTCAATGCTGTTTATAGTTCTTGTCTTTCATACAAATAACATATTTTAAGAAGGCTCTAAACCTAATTTAAGGAGTTTCCATTAAACAGTATATTATTTAGAAATGGAAATAAATGTAATAACTAATTATTTTATTATCAGAATGTTTTTGTGTTAGTGAAGAATGTTTATGTATTAGTGAAGAATGTTTATCTTTCATTTAAACTTTTTTTTTGGGCATTGGAATATTCCATACAGCCAGTATAAAACTATTTAGTTGTGTTCTTATTCTTCACTATTTCCATTTTAAATATATCTATTTATTGAATATAAATGTTGCGTGACATTGATAATTTCTTCGGGGTTGGTCGATGTTAATAATTTTTTATATAGATTCTCATCGTTGTATGGATTTAGAAAAATTAGAAATTTCCCCCTCTGAGTGTTTCTTTTTGGTTACAATTATCACATTTATATGAATTTTTAATTCCAATGCGCTGCAGATATACTTTACATAGCCCATGATTTGTTCTAAGTCTAGAAAAGTTTTTAATTACATCTTTTGGTAGATTTAATCCGAAGAACCATAGCTTGTTCAGAATTTGCAGTACATTGGACTTATAAAATCTGTGGAGACTCGTGATAGTGAAGGGGACCATATTATCGGAAAGTTATCTGTAAATGGCAGTTTGATGTATGTAACATGAGGTAAGTTAGCAGAAGTTTTAGCTAGGCGGTCTACCTCTTCATTTACCGGTATTCCCATGTGTGCTTTGACCCTCATAAATATATTAACATGTTACTACATATATTAATATGTTGTGGGCAGTTTTCTGTAACGATTTTATATTTGCATTTATCATAATTAGGATTAATGAGTTGAATTTAGTGTTAATTATTATATTAAATGTTTGAAATAACATATCATATTTAAGTGTATATAGTGATAGTTTAGTATTAGAAAATAAATTTTCTGTTAGTTGTCGATATTTTATAAAGCTATCATAAATAAGAGGAACATATATATTTTTTTCCAATATGTTGGGGTTAGGATAATTACACACACTATTTTATTATAGCATTTGTAATTCATAGCTTTGACCTTAAAAAACATCCTATTTGCTAATAATTGCCTTCTGTACTTTAAATATGTTACCCCAGCCTCGTTATATAATACATCTATTGGAGTAGAATTAAGAACCCCTAAGCACACTCTTAAACGCCTATTATGTATTGTATCTAAGTTCTTTAAGTTACTATCAGGAGCTTCGCCGTAAATTGAGGCTCCATAATCAAATATTGCCTTAATGTTACTTCTATAAAATAATATAGACATATTAGGATCTACTCCCACTTATTATTAGAACAAATCAGTTTTATTGTTCCCATTTGTTTTTCAGCACTCTTTTGAATATCAATTATATGGGAGCTCCAATTTAATTTTATATCGAAACAGAGCCCCAAGTCACACATGGGAATGAAATACCTGCCAGAATTACTTGATCACCTAGGAGGAATGCATGTTCTCTACTGAAGGGACACACTAGATACTTTGAGACCGAAATATTCATAACTGTATCAAACTGCCATCTTTTGAGACCACTTACTGTTTCTTCTAATAACTGTAGATAACGGTTAATGTTTCTATGTGTTACATATACACAAATGTCATCAGCAAATTGTAATATCTCTACTTCTCCGGGTATATAGTTTCTTAAATCTGCTGAGACTATAGCAAAAAGTAGACTTTTCTAAGTGTAAGACTTTTCTTTAATGTAAATCATGTTTTCCTATTCAAATTATGTAACTCTAAACTTATTATTATGTGAAATTTAATTGACATTTAAAACATTACAGTGCCGCTTAGTTGTCAGCCAGATGTCCAGGACCAGATGTTTTGCTTGGAATTCCTTATTGACAATTGAGGCCTTAGCATTTGCTATATCTGTGCTAGTACCAAAGACTGAACTTGTCACTCTCTACTTTCTTTGGCTAGTTTCAACATTAGCTCACATACATTATGGAACATGTGTAGTAAGTACTTAAGTATTAAAGAAATGTAAATATTTCTGGGTATCATGTGATCATATGAACTAATTGGATATCATTGAATTTTAAGTAGTCAGGAAAAAGAATGAATGAAAGCAAGAGGGTTTTTAACAAAACTATGAATTTATTGAGACTTATATAAAGGATAACAAACAACAACCAAATTTAGGTGTGCTCCATTATTGGTTGTGAGACATATTTATTACATTAATTGAAAGAATTATCTGAACTAGTATTTTTAAAAATTGATTAAGTTACTTACCAGGCTTTAAACAATCTAGTAATTCAAGGCACATTATTAGAATTCAAATTTTAATGTTTTATTAAATTTACAGTTTTTCTCTTCTATTTGGTTGCTAGAGTAGCTAACCTCTAATATTATACTGAATAATAACATTTCCATAGGGAGAACAATAAAGATAAAGTGGTAGGGATGCTGTAAATAAATTCATCAATTTAAACATTAACCTTATTACAAGATAAACAAAAAATATATACACATAGATTTAACCTATAGCTAACTTTTAATTTTTTTTTAAATTAATGTTATAATAAACTCTAATCAGGGTAAATTAGTATTCTTAAATTAGAAAACTCTAAAGTACCAAGTACCAATTCTCATGGCAAAAAATAAGATATAGCAAATCTTATAATAATAATAATAATAAAAGGCTTAGCGAACCCGAAGGTTCGATGCCGACACCACCAATCGCTTGTTACACTCCTCCCTTTACCGTTCGCCGTCCAAACCCAGTCCCTTCAGATCGGCTTTAATGCAATCTTCCCACCTTCGCTTCAGTCTACCTCTCGTATGCTTACCATTCGGCACAGCAAATATTAACCTTTTAGGAATTCTCTCATTACTAAGTCCAACAACTTTACAAACCCATTTGATTCGCCGCGATGAAATTATCTCAATTATATTACTCGGATACAGTTCACGCAATTCGGCGTTGTGTAACCGTCTGAACTCTCCGGTTAACTCATCCTTCTTCGGTCCGAATATTCTACGCAATACCTTATTTTCAAAAACCTTAAGACGCTGCTCATCCCTTAATGTAAGCGGCCAAGTTTCGCACCCATAAAGAACTGTAGGCAAGATAATTGTTTTATAGATTCTAATTTTTAAGTTTCGGGACAAAAGGCGCGAACTAAGTAGTTTTGTCACAGAAAAATAACAAGCATTTCCCGCCTTCATTCTAACCTTAATTTCTTCTTCAATTTCGTTTTTTCTAGTTATCGTAGAACCTAGATACCTAAACTTATCTACCTGCTCAAACATATTACCATCTATATCGATATCACCAGTAGTATAGCCATTTTTGCAGCTAACCATATATTTTGTTTTATCCACATTTATTTCGAGTCTTAGTTCTTTACCGGCTTTCATTAACGTTGTCGTATTTAGTTTTATAGTTTCAAGGTCTTCGCTTAACAGTACCAGATCATCAGCATAGCCCAGCACGGATGTTGTCCCACCCAGATCCAACCCTTGCTCGGTACGCATTACCTCCCTAATGGCATGTTCTAATGCCAAATTGAACAGTACAGGCGAAAGGGAATCCCCCTGTTTTAAACCCGAACGAACCTCAAATTTTTCTGACAGATTATTACCGATTCTAACTTTATTGAGTGTCTCCGTCAAGCACATCCTGACTAGATTTACTAATTTTTTAGGTACCCTGCTCGATTAGAATATTATACAGTTTCTGGCAGTCAATAGAATCGTAAGCCTTTTTAAAATCTATATACAGCTGGTGAACAATACTGTTGTACTCCAATTTTTTCTCTAATATTTGCCGTAAAGAAAATATTTGATCAATAGTCGAACGATTCCGTCTAAATCCGCATTGGTAGTCTCCGATAATTTCCTCGGTGTATTCCGTGATTCGACTGGTTAAGATTAAAGTAAATATTTTATAACATACCGGTAGGAGTGAAATTCCTCGATAGTTATTACAATCCGTCCTCGGACCCTTTTTGTGAATCGGAATAAGAATAGATTCTTTCCATTCTTCAGGTAATTTCTCATTCACCCAGATCTTTTTAACCAACCGATGTATTTTAGAAACTCCAGCTTCCCCGCATTCCTTAATTAGTTCAGTAGGAATATTGTCGGTTCCCGCTGCTTTATAAGATTTTAATTTTCCGATAGCTAATTCAACAAGCAAATCTTATACCTAACATAAATTAATTACTAATAAATATTATAAAGAAATGATTTCCATTAATACACACACTAAAATCTCCAAGATAATCCAATGATTTTTACACAATGTTTGTGTGAGCTTGTGCACGTGCATGTCTCATCCATAGATAAAATAAATTAAAGCCTCATTGCAGCAACAAATATCCAGCATGAGGGCTCCAATGTTGTGCTAATGTTCTCTTTTCATTATTTTTATGATTATTAAATGTTAAGCATGCCTGATTTTTTAAACAGCCTTGGAGTAGTTAATAGTAACAATTAATTACTTGACTTTATCAATGGTGAAGGTGAAGATCCTCTGTACTGAAACATAAAGCCTTTCTTTTTTAACTCCCGAAATCGCAAGGGAAGGATCTCTATTTTCTTTTAATGAATACATATGAGACTTACTCTAACTATAAGATTAATAACCTTATCAATGAAGAAGATGTGAGACAAAACAATCTTCCACAGCACTACAACTCATGAAGAGTCTTGGCCTCCTCAAGACGTGTCCGCCAGGCGTCTCTATACTGCGCAGCCGCTTTCCAGTTACGTACACCAAGTAGTGCACGTGCATCCCTTGCCACACAATCCTGCCATCGCAGCCGTGGTCTTCCTGCTTTCCTAGAGCCTTGTTCATTGCTCTCCATAGTTTTCTTGGGGATTTCATCATTTTGTATCCTCGTCACATGCCCTGCCCATCGCAGTCTTGCAAGCTTTATGGTTCTTATGATATCTGGCTCCTTGAATAGATTTTAAAGCTCTGTGTTGTGTCAAATCCTCAAATTCTGTTCATCGCGCACAGGACCATGGATTCTGCGGAGTTCTTTCCACTCAAATAACGCTAGGGCTCGCTCGTCTCCTTGCGTCATAGTCCAGGCTTCAGAGCCATACATCAGTACCGGACGAATGAGTGTTTTATAAAGCTGTGTCTTTGTGCTGCGAGAGATGAGTTTGGTTTTGAAATGCTTATTTAAGCAGAAATAGCACTTGTTTGCCGCTACTATTCCTCTCTTGATCTCTAGGTTTCCTTTGTTTTCTCTATTTACCAGAGATTCCAGATATGCAAACTCATTAACTCTCTGGAGCTTATAGTGCGCAATCTCTAGGTGTTGTTCTTGGGTGGTAGCACTACCTCTAATACACATATACTTGGTTTTTGCTTCGTTAACGACCAGTCCTAACCCTGCAGCTGCTGCTTCTAGTAGGACAAACGCTTCTTTCATAGCGTTCATCGATCTAGCCATTATGTCGATGTCATCGACATATGCAAGTAGTACTGTTTCTTGGTCAACGGTTGTGCAAGAAGGTGATTTGACTAAGATCATGCTCAACCACCAGATTTCCCCCTTAATTAATTAATTAAGAGTACCCAGTTTATAGAGGCTGGGGTACCCCAGAGGGTTCCTTTCACGGCGCAGTTGTATTCGAACCTGGAACCTTGAGTTTCAGAAGTCAATGCTCCTCCTATACAACAACCCTTAATACCTACACTTAGTTTAATTAATTAATTATACTTTAAATATTAATACCTAAACAAAATTATTTTAACAATCTGGTGTGGTACGCACATCACACAATTTCCACCCTCTTCTTAGCAGAAATAAGTATTTTCAGACAAAGGGGAAGTGAAAGTCAAAATTATAGATGCTATATTTATTTATATTTCATTGTGGGTATTTTTATTTGTTTAAGTACCCTTATATATACCATATTTATATCGCAATATTACAATTAAATATTAAATAATATCAGCAATAGCATTTATGAAAACTGCATAAGTATATGTACATAATATTGTCTGATTCCGTATTATATTAAGCCCATGCTATGTATGGAAGCCCGTATTCCTTTGGTTTCTCCATTACAATCTCTCATTTCTCCTTTAGTTAATTATCAAATTCTTTCTTATTTTTTATTTAACTATTTTTTAGATCAGAGATCAATGTGAAATGGTTAATTGTTTCGCATAAAAAAAAATTAATGGTATTTCAGGGACAGCTAATGTTGGAAATTGGCTATTTAAACCCTGTTAGAGAATATCAATGAGAATAAAATCTACATTATATTAAAAATGCTTAATTTTACTCTGATTTGATGAGTTTAATCAAAATTGTTTGAACCATTTTCGAGAAAATCGTAAAAATGTGTTAAATCGATGATATAAAGTGCCACTTCTGGTGAGACGATTTTGACGAAAAAGTTGCTGTAACATCCCAGGTATATAAAAACCTTAAATATGCAATTTCATTATTGTACGATTTTCCATTTTTGGGGTAGACTGTTAACGTACAGACCATTTTGCAGGTCTTGGTTATTTAGACTCAGGGGACCATAAAACATGTATTTCTGTTGAAAACTGAGATTTGAAAATGTTCACGATCGCAGTACTTCCTTTACTATATATTTGATATATAGGTAAAAGAAGTATAGGGGACTGCTTTTGGGGATTCATGGCGCAGGTTGAAAAATAGGGATTTAAATATTGGTACGTGGAAAGTAAGGAGTTTAAACACAGCAGGAGGCTAAAATCGGTCACGAATGAGGTAAATGGGTACAATTTGGAAATCGTGGCTGTATTTGGAGGTTCGTTGGCCAGGGGAGGGCTCGATAAGGGAAGGAAAGTACACTATTTGGTACGGAGGAAGCGGGAATCATTGTTTAGGTACCGGGTTTCTAATTAGGAATAGATTACTATCCGCTGTTAGGGACGTACAATTCTTTAGCGATAGAATTTCGGTAGCTATATTTCAGGGACGTTGGTTTAAAATCGCATTAATAAACATACATTGTC